CAAAGAGGTGGTCAGCAGACGGGCTGGTAAGCCCAAGTGCTGGTTAAATATTTTAACTACCATCCCTAGGAATGGGAGAGAGGGACATTTTCCAAGAACAAAAAAACATTGCAAAATTTATGATTAGGCAACATGTAATGTACCTTCACTTCCTAACTTTTCACAAACGGTATTATTCTAATATACAATGAACCTCTTAAAAGCACATTTCATACAACATTTTCCAAATATATTTGAAGACAGCATCTATTTTTGAGAGATATCTAATGAGATTAGTGTTCTGAGCAACACATTTTGGGAAGCACAAGATCAAAGCAAAGAAAGAAAAAGAAAGGCATGGATCTTAATTTCCTAAGAGGAACTATAAAAATATCTTAAATGCAAATTGCAAACAGAAATGCCAGCATCTATTAACCATCAAGTGACTACTGCTGTAATAAAAAAAGCAAAAAAAGGAAAGGATCTTAAAATGTGTATCTTAAATAGTCATAATTAAGATGTGACATATGCAGCCTTGAATTCTTGTACGATTTTTTAAAAAATCATTTCAAAGCAAGTATTTTTATTTTCAGGCTTTGTTTACAGGTTGACTTATCTAGAAACGAAAAAGAGAGCTTCTGTCAACACCTATACTGTGCCAGAAGAAGCTAAAAGCTTAACAAAATAAGCATTCTATGAAAAGAAATATGCAAGTGATTAAATTAAGGCTTACTTTCTTTTGCTTTCGAACTTTAATCCTTATACTACTGTTTTTACAAATATATCTTAGTGACTTTTAGAACTTTTGAAAGTATGTCTCCATTTAAGTATTTACTATATGCACAGAGCTGAAATAAGTTGCTCTGCAGAGTGAAGAAACCACATCTGAGGCAACTCACCTGCCTTCCAAGAGGTTATGATCTTTTTTAGATAGCAAAATCTCCTACCACACTTGAAGAAAGGATCAGTATAGGATACAACTAGTTTCCATAGGAGTTGCAGAAATGTAATGTGTGACTGGATTTCCTCCACTATAATCTTATGCCATCAAATGAGATACTAAATAAATACAGAATCACTGTAATCTAAATTAACCCATAAGCACAATGATTGGTACATAAGTAAACTATAAATGATAGCTTTTGTTATTCACTTCTAACATTTTTTTCTTGATTGTTGTTGGTGGTCTTTGCTCGATACTTACTAAAACCTATCACGTGAACCCTCGAGGAAAACCCCAATCACTGAAAATAATTTTGATTTAGGTTGCTTAGAAGAAAAGATATTCATAAAGCTATTACAACATGTTAAAAACATAGCATAACTTAGTCTATCATATCTTGAAGAATATGTGCTAGTTTTATGTGGTACTTGGATCAGAGAGTTAATGGTAAGAACTGAAATGAGAATTAAAGATTCCACATTCTGCTTCTATAATAAGTATGTCAGAATTCTATTGCTGAATAGACTATTATGCTTAAAACTCCTAATAGATAACATCATAAAAATGAATGCTCATTGGGTACATCCAATGTGATCTGAGCTCTTCACATGCAGAATCCTATGAGATAGACACTGATATTAATATTGCATGTTACAAATAAGGAAGACTAAAAAGTGTAACCAACCTACTTAAGACTAAAGAACTTGGAAGGTGCTGAGTGCACACTGGCCAGCATCCTTAACTCCATACTGCCATGCCTCTATCAAAAGCCACCAGGATAAATTTACAGGAAGTTAAGGAGATGTATTCAGAAAACCTAGCTTAGCAATTTTTAGTAAAAGAAATATTAATTAAAACTCTTTGAGATTCTATATGTTGTAGACCAAAGTCTGACTTTTCTTTATACCTACTAAAGGACAGGTCTGCCAGAAAGAATTGGGAAAAAAAAAAAAAGTATAAGCAGAAACTCTCACAAGGATCTATGAGGAAAAGAAGTTATATCCTTTATCTGACTCAGCGTGGCTCCCGTGAAGGCTGAAAATATGGACCAAGTGATTGGGGTCAACCAGTTAATGGTTGATGATGCCTCATTAAGAATAGCAAGATATCTCAGCCTAATAGAAAAAGCAAGTTATTGAAGCAAAACAACTGGAGTCAGTCAGTCATGTGCTGTTATCCATTGCAGTGCCACATGTCTTAGTAGGACTCCTAGCCCACTTTTGTTGTCCAGTGCAATGCCAACGTGTCAAAACTAGATTCCTACTCAGCTTTAACTCAGCTTATTTTTAGCAAACAGGATCTCTGTGGTCAGAAGTTCCTTCTCAGAGATCAACCAGCTGAAGCTAGCAAAATCCACAACTGCAGCTTACTCAACCTCTGAAGAACTTCTAGCTTTATTTTAATCCAGATTCCATGCTGAATGACACTCCCACCATCACCATGACAGTTGACAGTCACCATGACAATGACTGGAGGAGACCAAGAAAAAAAACAGAAAAGATGCAGCTCCTTGATTCCAGGAAAGTCTCGGTCCCTTCAAAAGAAAAGCACAAATATTCCTTCCCTTGCTCTTAATGCCCAATCGCTATGTTAAAGTTACCCTGTATTTACAACTGCCTGGTTCTCAGAGGCTGAGAAATTAGTTAGCTCCATTGTCCACTTCTACAATTCCATAATCATTGAGTAAAGACAGTACTGCTTGACAATCACTTTCAGTTTTGTGTATTGGTTTTGCAACACCAAACAGGAAAAAGCCCCCTTTGGGGTAACTGAGTGAGATCCCCAGTAACATCATTACCTAGTAAGCTGTCAGTGCCCTTGTTTCTATAACAAATCAAATTCTCAGTACTCTGCAGAATTTCATGTTCATTCCAACTGTCACCTAATAGGATCTCAATATAACTGTAAGATGCCTAATACCCAATTCCTCTCTTCTACCTGCCTCCTCCCCATCCGACTCCAATTCCAGCCTTTGCCTTTCACTTGAAAAGCTCTTTCCCCAGATCCGTAATAGACAACTGTCTTATTGCTTTCTGAACAATGCTCATGCTGTATGAAGTAACAGCCTCCCTCACCCACCCCTCAGCACACTCTGCCCTTCCTAGGTGCTTTTATTTTCTGCTCATACTATTTATACCTATCTGATAGATTTTGACTTATTTGCATTGTCTTTCTCCATGGGAACAGGGCTGAAGTCTGATTTGTTCACAGATGTCTTCCTAGCACTCACAACAGCGCACTGGGCACAGTAGGTACTATTTGTTTTTGACTACTTGCTAGCCTGATGGACGCTTGCTTTTCTTGTGTTACCCAGTGGACTTCCATGAAATAAAAACTGAGAAGCTCATATAGTTTGGCAAGGACTTTCGGCTATGATAACTCCCGCTGTTAGAAGATACAATCCGCTGTATGGAAAGAAGGGAGACTGGGGTGGTGACTAGATTCTATGCCTTCTACTTTTTCAAATTAATAAACTTAGTTTTTAGAAGAGATTCAGGTCCACAGAAAAACAAAGTGGAAAATAAGTAGTTCTCATATACCCGGCTCCCACACGTGCACAGCATTCCCCATTATCAATATTCTCCTTCAGAGTGTTACATTTGTTACAAGCAAAGAACCTACAATGAAGCATCATTATCACCCAAAATCCATAGTTAACATTAGTGTACATTCTTGGTGTTCTACATTCCATGGGTTCTGACCAATGCATAATGGCATGTATCCACCACTTGATATCATAGAGAATAGTTTCACCAGGTCAACAATGCTTGATCCTCTTCCTATTCATTCCTCCTATCCCCTAGCTGATACTAACCACCAATCTATTTACCTTCTCCATAGTTTTGCCCTTCCTAGAATGTTGTACATAGTCATATCTTGTTTTATTGCACATTACTGTGTTACACTTTGCAAATATTACGTTTTACAAATAGGAATTTTGTGGCAACCTGAAGGGAGCAAGTCTGTTGGCACCATTTTCCAACAGCATGTGCTCACTCCATGTCTCTGCCACGTTTTGGTAGTTCTTGTAATATTTCAATCTTTCCCATTATCATTATATCTGTTATGGTGATCTGTGATCTTCAATGTCACTATTGTAATTGTTTTGGGGTGCCCTGAACCATGCCCATGTAAGATGGCAAACTTAATAAATATTATGTATGTTTTGATTGCTCCACCAACCAGCCATTACCTATCCCCTTCCCCCTCCTGCTTTTTCCCCTAACCCCTTAGGCTTCCCTACTGCCTGAGATAAATGATACTGAAATTAGGTCATTGAATAACTTTACAATGTCTTCTAAGTGTTCAAGGGAAAGGGAGAGCTGCACATCTCTCACATTAAATAAAAAGCTAGAAATGATTAAACCTGGCAAGGAAGGCATGTGAAAAGGCAAGACAGGGCAACAGCTGGGACTCTTGTGCCAAACAGTTAGTCAAACTGTGGCTGCAAAGGAAAAGTTGTTGAGGAAAATTAAAGGTGTTACTCCACTGAACACAAGAACAATAAAGTGAAACAGGTTTATTGCTGATATGGAGAAAGATTTAGTGGTCTGCCTAGAAGATCAAACCAGCTACAACATTTCCTTAAGCCAAAACATAATCCAGAGCAAGGCCATAACTCTCCTCAACTCTATGAAGGCCAAGAGGTGAGGAAGCTGCAGAACCAAAGTTTCAATCTAGCAGAAGTTGGTTCTTGAGGTTTGTGGAAAAAAGCCTTCTCTATCACGTATAAGTGCAATGCAAAGCAGCAAGTGCTGATATAGACACTGCAAGTTATCCAGAAAATCTAGCTAAGATCATTGATGAAGGTGGCTACAGTAAACAACAGATGTTCAATGTAGATGAAACAGCACTCATCAAAAGATGATTCCATATAGGATTTCAAAGCTAGAGAGATGTAGTCAATGCTGCCTTCAGAGCTTTGAGGGAGAAGCTGACTCTCTTGTTGGGGGCTAAAGCATTGGTGACTTTCAGTTGAAGTCAATTGTCTTTTATGATTCTGAAAATCCTGGAGTCCCTAAGACTTATCCTAAATCTCTTCTGCTTGTGCTCTATACATGCAATGATGAAGTCTAAGTGGCAGCACACCTGTTTACAGCATGGCTTACTGGATAGTTTAAGCCCATTATTGAGACCTATTGCTCAGATAAAAAGATTTCTTTCAACATATTACTGCTCACTGATAATGTATCTGGTCACCCATGAACTCTGATGGAGATGTAAAAAAAAAAAAAATGGATGTTGTTTTCATGTCTGCTAATACAATATATTCTGTAGTCCATAGATCAAGGAGTAATTTTAAAGTATTATTATTTAAGAAATAGATTTTGTAAGGCTACAGCTTCCATAGATAGTGATTCCTCTGACAGAGCTGAGGGCAAAGTAAACTGAAAACCTTTTGGAAGGGATTCACCATTCTAGAAGCCATTAAGAACATTCAAAATTTATGGGAGGAGAGGAAAATACCAACATTTGCAGGAATCTGGAAGAAGTTAATTCCAACACACGCGGATAATTTTGAGGGGTTTGAGACTGGTGAAGAAGTTAACTGTACATGTGGTGACCACAACAGAGAACTAGAAGTGGAGCATGAAGATGTGAGTGAATTGCTGCAGTCTCATGATCAAACATCAACTGATGAGAAGTTGCTTCTTATGGATGAACAAAGAATGTGGTTTCCTGAGATGGAATCTACTCTTGGTGAGGGTGCTGTAAACATTGTTGAAATGACAACAAAGAGTTTAGAATATTAAATAAACTTCATTGATAAAGGAATGCAGGATGTGAGAGAATGAACTCTAATTTTCAAGAAGTTCTACCCAGGGTACACTGATACCAAGACAGCATTGCATGCTACAGAGAAGTTTTTCATAAAAGGAAGAGTCAATTCATCTAGCAAACTTTACTGTTATCTTAAGAAATTGCAACAACCACCCTAATCTTCAGGAAACATTGCTGCGATTAGTCAGCAGCCATCAACATCACTGAAGGCTCAGATGATTATTCACATTTTTCAGTAATAACAAATTTTTGATTAAGATATGTACATTGGTGGCCAGGTGTGGTGGCTCAAGCCTGTAAGCACTTTGGGAGGCTGAGGAGGGCAGATGACTTGAGGTCAGGAGTTTGAGACCAGTCTGGCCAACATGGTGAAATCCTGTCTCTACCAAAAATACAAAAATTAGCAGGGTGTGGTGGCACATGCCTGTAATCCCAGCTACTTGGTGGCTGAGGTAGGAGAACTGCTTGAACCCTAGAGGTGGAGGTTGCAGTGAACTGAGATCACACCACTGCATTCCAACCCAGGCGGCAGAGGGAGACTCCATCTCAATTAAAAAAAGTGTACATATGTGTGTGTGTGTGCACACGCACGTGTGCGCGTATACATATACACACACAATTTTTACAAAATATATATAATACATAAAAATGTGTATTTTTTAAAATGTATGTGTGTATATACATAGATATATAGATATATATACACACACAAGAAGAGAAAATCAAACACTGCATGTTCTCACTCATAGGCAGATGAGTTAGAATAGCATTTCATATTCCCAGTGCATATAAAAGTTATGTTTATACTCTGCTACTATATATATATATATGTATATACACATATACACACACATGCATTTTCTAGACATAATGCTATATATGTATACACATATGTGTGTGTATATATATGTATACATACACAAAGTTTTTCTAGACGTAATGCTATTACACACTTAATAGACTGCAATATAAACATAACTTTTATATGTACTGGGAAATCAAAAATTCATTCATTTGCTTTATTGTGATATTCAGTTTATTGCATTTGTGTGGAATCAAACCCACAGTATCTGAGGTATGCCTGTAGTTGAAATCATACAGCATCTAGCCTGTTCAGACTAGCTTCTTTCATTTAATGATATACATCTCAGCTTCCTCCATGCCTTTCAGGGCTTGACAGCTTTTTTTGAAAGGGCTGAATTACGTTCCATTGTCTACATGTGCCATAGTTTCCAGTCGCCTACTGATCTCAGTAAATCTCAGTTGCTTCCAAGTTTTGACAATTGTAAGTAAAACTTCTATAAACATCCCGGTGCAGAATTTTGTGTAAATGTGTTTTCAACTCCTTTTGGTTTCAAATCCTTTGCTAGATTGCATATTGAGTATATTTTGTTTTGTAAGAAACTGCCAAACTGTCTCCCAAAGTGACTGTATCACTTTGCACTCTGACCAGCAATGAATGAGTGGTTCATTGCTTGCTTCACATCCTTATTGGCATTTGGTGTTCTCTGTTTTAGATTTTGTGCATTTTAATAGGTGTATAATAGTGTATCATTGTATTTTTTAATTTGCAATTCCCTAAAGATATATGAGGTTTAACATATTTTTAAATGATTATTGGACATCTGTATATGTTGCTATTTTATTATTATTATTTTTTTTTTGAGGCAGAGTCTTGCTTTGTCACCCAGGCTGGAGTACAATGGCATGATTTTTGCTCACTGCAACTGCCACTTCTCAGGTTCAAGTGATTCTCCTGCCTCAGCCTCCAGAGTAGCTGAGACTACCCATGTACACCACTATGTCTGGCTAATTTTTGTATTTTTAGTAAAGATGGGGTTTTGCCTGTTGGACAGGCTGGTCTCAAACTCCTGACCTCAGGTGATCTGTCCACCTTGGCCTCCCAGAGTGTTGGAATTGCAGGCATGAGCCAATGTGCATAGCCTATGTTTTGAATTATTGTTAATTGTATTTAGAATAGAGAAGAGCAGCAGTTCACTGACATCTTCGTGCTCCACTTCTAGTTCTCTGTTGTGGTCACCATATGTACAGTTACTTTCTCGACCAGAGTCTCAAACCCCTCGAAATCATCTGCAAGTGTTGGAATTAACTTCTTTCAGATTCCTGCGAATGTTGGTATTTTCATCTCCTTACTATGTTGCCCAGCTGGTTGCAAACTCTGGGCCTTAAGTGGTCCTCCCACCTCAGACCCCCAAAGTGCTAGGATTACAGGCATGAGCCTGTATGTGTTCTTTCATGAGGTGTCTGTTCAGGTTGTCATTTTTTTTTTTTTTAAAAAAGGTTTAAATATTGATTTTTTTTTTTTTTTTGCTTGTTTTTTTTTTTTTTTTTTGAGACATAGTCTCCCTTTGTCGCCCAGGCAGGAGAACAGTGACTCGATCTCAGCTTACAGCAAACTCCACCTGCCACATTCAAGCAGTTCTCCTGCCTCAGTCTCCTGAGTAGCTGGGATTACAGGAACATGTCACCACACCCAGCTAACTTTTGTATTTTTAGTAGAGATAGGGTTTCACCATGTTGGTCAGGCTGGTCTCAAACTCCTGACCTCATGATCTGCCTGCCTCGACCTCCCAAAGTGCTGAGATTATAGCAGTGAGCCACTGCACCTGGCCTAAATAACAATTTCTTACTGTTAAGGTTCTCTTTTTTTTTTTTCTTCTTCTGCCCAGGCTGGAGTGCAATGGTGTGATCTCATCTCACTGCCTGAGTAGCTGGGATTATAGGCATGCACCACCATACCTGGCTAATTTTGTATTTTTAGTAGAGATGGGGTTTTGCCATGTTGGCCAGGCTGGTCTTGAACTCCAGGTGATCCATCCACCTCGGCCTCCCAAAATGCTGTGATTATAGGCATGAGCCACTGTGCCCGGCCCTTATTGAGTTTTAAGAGTTATGTGCACACTCGCGCGCACTTGTATGTGTGTGTGTGTGTGTGTATTTCCCCAATTTACTGAGATATGACTGACAATTGCAATTGATTTATTGTATACAATATAATGTTTTCATATAGTATACATTTTGAAATAATTACCACAATCTAGTTAATTGTAGTCAATATGTCAATTACCCCAACCATTAACTGTGTGTGTATGCGGTAAGAATATACTTGACTTCTCTAGTAGCATATTTCAAATATACATTACATTAATATTAACTACAGTTACTATGTAATAAATTAAGTATCCCAAACGTATTCATCCAATAATGGAAAGTTTTTATGCTTTGACTCCTATTTCCACTTTCTGCCAACCCTCAGCCACTAGTAACCACCACTCTACTCTCTGTTACTATGAGTCTGGCTCTTTTATAGATTCCACATGTAAGTGAGATCATCCATCATTTGTCTTCTGATGCCTGTCTTATTTCACTAAGTATAATGCTTCCCAAGTTAATTCATGTTGTGGCAAAAGGCAGAATTTCCTTTTTTAAGGTTAATATCCATTATTATTTGATATCCATTGATTTATCAAACACTGAGGTTGTTTCCACACCTTAGCTATTGTGAATAATGCTGCAATGAACACAGAAGTACAGCTATCTCAAGATAATGACTTTATTTCCTTTGAGTCTACACCCAGGACTAAAATAGCTGGATCTATATGGAGCAAAATTTAATTTTTTAGGAACCACCATACTGTTTTCCATAATGCTACATATTTACATCCCTACCAAAAGTGTACGAGGGTTCCCTTTTCTCCACATCACTTGTTATCTTTTGACATTTTGATAATAACCATCCTAATAGTTGTGATATTTTATTGGGGTTTTAACTTGCATTTCACTGATTAGTGATATTGAACATCTTTCAGATACTATTGGATTTTTGTATGCCATCTTTGGAAAAATGCCTATTCTGGTCCTTTGCCCATTTTAAATCAGGTTTTTTGTTTAATTTTGCTATTTACTTGTATAAATTTCTCACATATTGTGTTGATTGTTTCCTTTGCTATGCAGAAGCTTTATTACAGTCCCGTATTTTAATTTTGGTGTCTGTGCTTTTGGTGTCAAATTTTAAAAAAATCATTTCTAAGACCAATACTGAGGAGTTCTATGTTTTCTTCTAGGAGTTTCATAGTTTCAGGTCTTATGTTTAAGTTTTTAATCAACTTTGAATTAAGTTTCATGTATGATATAAGATGAGGATACGATTTCATTCTTTGTAGTCTAGTTTCCCCAATACCATTTACTGAATTTCTTTGTATATTTTATATGACAGTCCTTTATCTGATAGGTCTTTATAAATTTTTCCCAGTTTGTGGCTTGTCTTCTCAGTCTATTGGTATTGTCATTCTCAGAGTTTTAAAATTTAATGAAGTCTGGGTTATCAATTTTTTTCATAGATTGTAACTTTGGTCTTGTATATAAAAAGTCATCACCATATGCAAGGTCATTTAGGTTTTCCTCTAGTTATGTTCTAGGAGTTTTATACTTCTGCATTTTATGTTTAGATATATGATACACTTTGAATTAATTTTTGTGAGGGCTTTAAGGTCTACGTTCAAAC